GCTTTTTCTGTATTCTTACGCCTCATTAAATTTATTTATTACTCAAAGCAAATCGTTTAATCTTTCCTTATATGGAAGTGAAAGATCTTAAAATAACTTCTCTTTTGAAGTATAAATCTAATTATTATTCATTGGCATGTTTTTAGCCTTGAAGTCCCAAAATAGAATTTCTACCCTTATCTTTTACTAAAGATATTTTATGAAAACGAATGAAGTTTTAATGCTTTTATTAATACAAAAGTATTTAATTTTTGTATTACATATATATATCATTCATTTGTCATTATATTATTCAGTTTGTTTATGTCGACGTTTTTTGGAAATTGTAGATTATTACATTGCTGAGCGGCGGACATAAAAAATATCTTTTTTCTTAATTGGAATAGTAAAAAAAATAACTTGTTTCAAAAAAAAAAAAAAAAAAAAAAAGTCTTGTATTTNAATAAAAAAAAAAAAAAAAAAAAAAAAAAAAAAAAAAAAAAAAAAAACAGAATATTTTAGAAACTTTAAGCATAAAAGAAGAAATAAAACTAATTAAACCTATACCTTAATTGAAATTTAAGTAATGCATTTCACAAATCAGATCTTCAAAAAGTTTGTAGAAGTTTGCATATTTAAAGTTCTAATGAAAAATTCATAGAAGTTATAAAAATCGGACATTCTCCTAATCTAATAAAGCGACCCCTTTAGAATCTAACAATACGATATCATCAAAAGTTTGTGAGGTATAAAAAATATCGAGAAAACACAAATTTAAAATTTAACATAAAATCCAAGGTGTTAAAGGCAAAAGCCTCTTAACCCGAGACGGATATTTCTTTACTATCGTTTCCTGTTGCTGTAGCTCTTAGTTGTATTAAAAAAAATATTAAAGAAAAAGACGTAACAACAAAACACTCTAGTAGTTTTTTTTTTCTTTCAAAGATTTTATTTAATCATTCCTACTACTAAAACTTACTAATTCGTCAAAAATTAAAGAATTTTTTAAATACATGAAAAATATTATTAAATATACCTAAAAAATATTATTAAATATTATTAAATATGTGTTATTGTTTCAATTAGCATGATTTGTGCTTGTCCAGTCACTTGGAGAAAATCCTTAATTTCTAAATTATAAATTTATTTAATTCGTCAAAATAAATTTTTTTCTAATGATTAATTTCATAATCAACTTAAAAAAAACAATTTAGGACAAAGCACTGAAAAAAAACACTGAGAAGAAATACACCTCGTTAGTAATTATATGAATTTAGCAACCGATAAATTGTCTAGTGGTTGAGCCATAATTATTGAAATTCACTTATTCAAATGAAATCAGTTTGAACGCAAATATCCGATCATTAGATCAAAAGTTATTCAGGGTGGTTTGTTTATTTTTTTTCGCACTGTATATGTAATGATTTCGTTAGATACATTTCATTGAAATCCATGATAAAACGAAATATACCCTTGAATTTCCACTCATTTTTTAATGAGCCTATTTTTAAGTGTTAATGGATAATTATAAAATGTCCGTCTATTAGTTTTTCATTCTACTATTTTCTTATTTTAAAAAATGGATAAGCGCCATTATTGTTTTAGCTGCTTAATTTCCTGGTGAAATTAGTTTTCGCTGCACAAATGCTATAACACTTAAAAACTTAAATTTACGATCGAGTGCAGGAAGATGTACATTGAACAATTAATGCTAGAATCATTAAGTGTTAAACTTAATTTTAAAAAAAAAGCAAGTGATAGCACTACAGCAACAATAAAAAATCAGTTAATGCAGCCTGGAAAGTTGAAATTACGCGCGTTAACGAGGCCACTTTGTTGATAAATTTAACGTTAAGTTATTATTTCGAAACTCGAATTTGTTTCAAACTTATTAAACTTTCAAGTGGGGGTTTTTATCGCAAAATTTTACTCATTTTTGCTATAACCCCTTCCTTCTCACTTTCGACAGAATAACGGGGTGAAGTTTCGCCTTCTATTTCTCGTGCAAGTGATATTTCCGGGCTGGAGTATTCAAAAATATTAAAGCAATTTATTTCTTTTATGGCCGGAATCATTTTCATTTCTCAGTTTATGCACTGGAGGACAGTACCAGAGTAATGTGTTTAGAGGTAGCTAAGTTATTATAGACTAGATATCATCCTTCCTCAAACTTGTAAGCTAAAAATAAACGCAAGAAATAAAAATGTATATATTGCAGATACACTAGTTCTACATAATTTTCTTGAATGTAAAAATAGGTAGTTTTATAGCCGCTTTCTTCAAAATTATGCGACTGTTAAGGGGTTAAATAATGAACATTTATCCATATTCCAAGAAATTCTATTTTGCTCTCGAGAGTTTTATTTTATAAGTTCGTACTTAATTTGATCATTAAAGTAACTAAAAGATGGGAGATAGAGAGAGAAATCTAGAATGCTTCAGAAATAAATCACATGTTAAAAA